ACTAAGCACTTGACCACTCCTGTGTGACTGCAGTGATGGCTACTGACCTGGTGAAGCCCTTACCTGCATTGCTTCATGAGCTTCACTATTCTAGCCAAGAGTTTCCCTACTCAGAGATCCTCAGCTCAGTAGGTAATCAAGGCAAACCATCATCGCTGCTAAGGTTTGAAGTCTATGGAACTCCCCAGATAGGAGAAAGGAGAAGCAAACACATCCATTCTTAAGGCACCTTGATACACAATTTAAAAAAGTTCCAAAAAAACAGCAAACATGATATTGATATTGATTAGCACACACAGAGACTCCCCCCCTTTTTTAAGTATTTTGAGACAGGGTTTCTTTATGTAACCCTGACTGTTCTGTAGACCAGCCTAGCCTGGAGCTCAGAGATCCTCCTGCCTCTGCCTCCTAAAGACTAGAATTAAAGGTGTGCACCACCACCACCCAGCCGGTCAGAGCACTTTTATAGAAAGAATAAAGCTTGTAGCTAAAAAGATGGCTCACTCAGTAAGGTGCTTGCCACACAAGTACCCATCTTAAAAAAAAAAAAAAAAAACAGGCCTGGTGGCATGTGTCTGTAGTCCTAGGACTGGAGAAGCCTAGTCAAATCAGTGAGCCCCAGATAAAAGTGAGAGGTCCTGTCTCAAAAGAACAACATGGATGATGTCCTGAGAAATGGCATCCAAAGTTGGGCTGTCAGTCATTCACATACTCACACATGTGCACATCTGCACACACATTAGCATGAATACATATGCACACATACATGCATACATACATACAAAACAAAGACACCTTTATATTACTCAATCAACATGCGAGGAAGGCAGTGTGGTTTACAGTGTCCCAAGAATTAGATCGTGAACTTGCTACTAGTACACAGAAGGCTCTAGCTTCTGAATGCTGCTGGCATTTACTCACCGTCTACCTTTGCCAGGGGTTTTGCAGTGACTATGACACTAGACATCCAGGACTTTGGAAATTTGGGGGCATTCATTTCCTACGAGTTTCAGGCATTTATAGCAAGGGAAGTCAAGGTTATTCTTGCTGTTGATATAAGAGGCACAGCCAACTTTAGCTCTGCAAAAATTCTTCTCATGATCTAAATTTCCTATATTCAGCCTTTTTAATGACTCTACTTTGGTTAGTATGAAGTCACAGATGGACTCCTTCTATATGACGAGCTTACATGTGTCACACTGGTCTCTATAACTCAGTGATGCTAATCTAGACCAACCCTCATTTATCATGCAATGGTTTAAAGTCTGAAGAGCAAATGGAAAGCAAACCTCAGGGGCAGGGGTGGTGGTTCTCTCTCTCTCTCTCTCTCTCTCTCTTTCTCTCTTTCTGTCTCTGTCTCTGTCTCTGTCTCTCTCTCATTCTAGGGGTTGAACCCCAAAGTTTACAGATGCTAAGCGAGTGTCTGCACCTCCAAGCCCTGACAAACAAAATTTGAAGGAAAATTACTCCTCTTCCAGTATGACCGCACTCCAAATTAGTTCTCAAATTGGAGTTTTCTTTTTGTCTCTGACATACCTTCTGGTTGAGATAGAATTCATACCATAAAATTCACCCTTTGAAAATATACACTTTCCAGGGTTCAGCGTAGCCACAGCTCTGTAGCCATCGCTGCTGTGTGATGATAGAGCATTTGCACACCCAGAAAAGAGAGACTGATGATCACTGAAGATAAGTCTCTGTGCAAACCACTCTACACTCTCAGACTGCTGACCCAGACAGCATCCAAGGCATTTTTATATTGACCTAAAAACTTAGCAGTAACTCAAGGTAAAAGGTTGGATCGGTGGCCAGGACGGATGAACTATTACCAGCATCTATGTTTGAAAACAAAAGCAGCTGCAGGAAGCAAGGCCCAAGTGTCCTAGAAATGTATTCGCTTGCTCAGGACATTTAATAATAACATACAGGGGCCCCAGGAAAGCAGAAATTAAGAACAGGCTGACGACAGCTGGTGCCCTCAGCTCCAGGTCCCCTCCTACACACCTGCTTGGCCTCATATTGGTCACGGCCACGAGGTGAGATGTCCTCAGCTCCAGGTCTCCTTCTACACACCTGCTCAGCCTCATCTTGTTCACAGCACTCAACTCCTCTGAGCTTCCGCTCCCTTACTTGCAGATTTGGGTAGCACTAGGGATTATTGTTGAAATCCCTCCCAGCTCTGATGATTGGGTGATATATTTAAAGCATAATCTCACCAGGTGGTAGTGTTGCATGCCTTTAATTCTAGCACTCTCAGAGGCAGAGGCAGGTGGATCTCTGAACTGGAGACCAGTCTGGTCTACAGAGTGAGTTCCAGGACAGCCAAGGCTGCACAGAAAAATCATGTCTCAAAAAAAAAAAAAAATCAAAAGAAAGGAAGGAAAGAAAAAAAGCATAATCTCTTAGCTGAAGGACAAACAGATCTCGATGGACTGGAAAAAAATACACACACACACACACACACACACACACACACACACAAATCCACCGAGACTAACTCAGGGATAAATGAACAGGGAGGTTGGGAGATCCTGTGAGTGGAACTTTCCATCTGAAAGGCAAGAGGCGCCTTAAACATCTGTAAGGCCCAAAGCCTGAAAAGAGGTGGTTGAGAAGACAGATGAGAAAGCACTTAGCACTGACAGTTTTGTGGGATACGCGACAATGGTGAGGGCATTCAGCAGGGTCCTCGGTGGCGGTACCATTGCTGTGATGATCAGAAGCAAGTCCCTCTAAAACTCATGCTCAAGAATAACCTACTTTGTGAAGTAAAAGGAGGATTTAAAAAAAAAAGTGATGAGAAGTGGGGTCTCTGAGAGACGAGCTATGGTGAAATGGGGTAACGGGGTGAGGGCACTGCCCCGCCCCATAATTTAACACTGCCTGACTTACTTAGTTAGTGTTTGTTTGTTTCCTTTCTTTAAAAAAAAAAAGTTCGAGACAGGGTTTTTTTTCTGTATAACAGCTCTGGCTGTCCTAGAACTCAATTTATAGAGCAGGCTGGCCTCTAACTCATAGAGATCCACCAGCCTCTGGGATTAAAGGTGTGCACCCCCACCACCAGTTGAAATGAAAGCATTCTAAAGTAATATCATTTTAATAGAATTCTTATCTTATGTGGGTATGGAGGCTCACTGAGCCTCTTTACTTATTTCTCTTCCCAACCTGGCTGCAGCAATTCCATCCTCTTCCTGGGCCTGGCCTCTTACCTACCTTCTTAATTAGTCCATGGATGGTTGGCCTGCTAGGGCCCAGCCCTCACCCTAGAAACCCCAGTGACCCAACAAGAAACAAGTGGCCCTGTGACCTGCCTGGACCAGAACTGGAACTAAAATAAACCTCTTTTCACAAGATAATTTACCCTTGGGGGTTGGAGAGATGGCTCAGAGGTTAAGAGCACTGGCTGCTCTTCCATAGGTCCTGAGTTCAGTTCCCAGCATCTACATGGTGGCTCACAACCATCTGTAATGAGATCTGGTGACTTCTGGCCTGCAGGCATATATGCAGGCAAAACACTGTATACATAATAAATAAATAAATATTTTTTTAAAAAAGATAATTTACCAGGTCTGTGGGTTTGTGTTACTTGCGATAGAAAACAGCTAATAGTACTCCAAAACCGTCCACGGTAAAAAGAAACTGCGTGACAGAGCAGAGCATTTGGGGAAATTCCTAACCTGAAAAACGACCTCAGAGCAGCCGAGGCAACAACAACATAAAGATAATTTGAGAACCAACTCACTACCCCAGCATTAAAAAGATCGGGTGGCAACTATGACAAAAATTATATTAAAATGATGCTGGCAGGGAGAGCAGGAAGGACTCTACAGCTACACTGGCAACCAAGTCTGATTAGCTGAATCCAGTCCTCAGAACCACCTGCTGCTGAGCATGCTCTCTGGCTGCAACACACAGTGAAAAACACACAAATGCATGCACACACGTGCGCGCGCACGCACACACATACACACATGCACACACACACACACAGGTGCACACACACACATACACCTAGACACAAATACACATACACACACACCAGGTGCACACACACACATACACACACACTAGACACAAACATACACACACACAAAAATAAAGGTACATTTTAAATGATACTAACTAGAAATAGAATGAATTTGAACTGTTTCGCCAAATACTTTAAAACTAGCACAGAAGAACAGCTCTGGGTAGCCAGGGAAGAGATCTCAGAAGAGTGCAAACAAAACAAGTGACAGCTCAGTCTGTACTGCACTCCCTCCCTCTCCCTCCATCCTTCCCTCTCCCTCCCTCCCTCTCCCTCCCTCCATCCCTCTCCCTCTCTCTCCCTCTCTTCCTCCCTCTCCCTCTCTCTTCCTCCCTCTCTCTCTCCCTCTCCCTCTCTTCCTCTTCCTCCCTCCCTCTCTCTCTCTCCCTTCCTTTCTCTCTTCTTCCCCTCCCCCCCCTCTCTCTCACACACACATTTTATTCAGCCATAAAGGAAAATATTTTGTCAAATGGACAAAACTAGAGATTATCATATCACATTTTTTTCTTGCATGTGGATCCTAGGCTTAAAGCATATAAACCCACACACATGACATGAAAGCATGAAGGAAGTAGACTATTTGGGGAAGAAGAGACAGTGAAAGTGGCCCAGGGAGGACAAGGGACAATAGCAGGGTGCGGTCATTAGTAAAGGACAGTAATATCTTTGTATGTGTCATAACCGAACCTACCATTTTGTAGGCTAATTAAAATTTTCAAAGTTCAAAATATAAGGTAAAACTTTTTTTAAAAAAAAAATAGGGATAAGAATAAACTCATGGGCAATAAATCCTCTTCCTGTTTTGCAGTGTGAACCCAGGGCCCTAAACATGCTAGGGAAGTACTTCACCATTGAGTCACTCGGCTCCCGCCTATGGAGCATTCACAACCTCATATCTGTCACACAGTCTTCAGAGATAGCAGCCCCGAGCCCTAAGTGGACAGGGACTGTAAGCGAGCCACAGAGTGCTTACCTGTGGGATGAGACGCCACTGCCAGGAGAGCCACACTGAAAAACAAAACATAAAGTTCAGCAAAGCAGGCAAGAACACTTTCTCAAGCACACAAAATGCATTAAAAATACACATTCCCTGTGGGCAAGAGGGCTCCTGCTCAGGACAAGAAGGGTCTCATGCCCTCCTTCACCTGTCACCTTCCCTGACCCTGGCTGGCCTATTATAATGCTCATTTTTTTACAATGATTATTTGAAAGCTAAACAAAGCAAGTTCCAAGCTACAAATAGGTTGCAATCTAAAAGCGAGCTGTTGAGTGTGAGCTAAGGGTATTTTTGTCATAAGATGAGCTGTGTAGCCAAGCACTGGGCCGAGCTCTGGGAGTCCAGTTGAAAAGAGGAAGGAGGAATTTTACAGTCAGGGACTGGGGTCAAGATCATGACAGGAAACCCACAGAGACAGTTGACCTGAACTAGTGGGAGCACATGAACTCTGAACCGACAGCTAGGGAGTTGGCATGGGACTGACCTAGGCCCTCTGAACGAGGGTGACAGTTGTGTAGCTTGGGCTGTTTGTGGGACCCCTAGCAATGAGATCAGGACCTGTCCCTGGTGCTTAAACTGGGTTTTGGGGACTTAGTCCTCATGCTGGATGCCTTGCCCAGCCTTGATGGGGGGAGAGGGGGGGAGCTTGGTCCTTCCTCAATGTGATATGTCATGCTTTCTTTTTTTATTGCTTTTATTGAACTCTACATTTTTCTCTGCTCCCCTCCCTGCCTCTCCCCTCCCCTTCAACCCTCTCCCATGGTCCCTATGCTCCCAGTTTACTCAGGAGATCTTGTCTTTTACTACTTTCCATGTAGATTAGATCCATGCATGTCTCTCTCTTGGGGGGCCATCCTTTCTTGACTACCATAGGAGGCCTGCCCCTTTCTGAACAGAGGAGGAGGAGGTGTGGGGGATAGATGGGAGGTAGGGGGAGGGAATAGGAAGAGAGGAGAGAGGGGAAAGTGTGGTTGATATGTAAAATAAATGAAAAAATTTGATAAAAAAAAAAGATGAGCTGTGTACATTCACAAATGTATCATCCGTCCACTGCACAGCCGAAAACTCCCTAAGCAGATACTCAATAGAGCCAAGTGCTGAGGGACAGGAAGGAGGACTTCTCTGGTGTGGGCCATGTTCAGTCAATAGAGCCAAGTGCTGAGAGACAGGAAGGAGGGCTTCTCTGGTGTGGGTCAATCTCGCATTACGTCATTTCTCTGGAAGCCTCTCCATCTCCCTGGACTCCTACTGCTCCCTGAAGCCCAGCTGCAAAGGGCTGAATTCTCACCTTCTGCTGCTGCTGCTGCATTTAGCAAAATTCCCTGTCATCTGGGCAACTGATCTAGATACAGGATAGGGATAAAATTTATTGTCTATGCCTGGCAGTGGTAGCACATGCCTTTAATCTCAGCACTCAGGAAGCAGAGGTAGACGGATCTCTGTGAGTTCATGATCAGCCTGGTCTACAGAGTGAGTTCCAGGACAGTTAGGGCTACACATAGAAACCCTATTTCAAAAAAGCAAAACAAACAAACAAACAAACCTTGCTATATAAGTGTAAGATCTGGGTTTCCACAGATAGGAAGGCCGCTCAGGTCTATACCCTGGCTGTATCACAGAGTAGCCCAGCATCCTCTGCTCAGTCTACACCCTGGCTGTATCTCAGAGTAGCCCAGCATCCTCTGCTCAGTCTACACCCTGGCTGTATCTCAGAGTAACCCAACATCCTGGTTTATATCACAGTCTTCAAGGACAGCATGTGGGCATTTCTGATTTTCCAGACTCTCCCTCTAAAACACAGGGTCAAGCTGACCCCAGGGACTGGCTTCGAGATGCGAGCTAGCTAAGCCCCTGCTGATGAGCAGTGTTTACCTTATCTATGCTCTTGATTGTTTTAATGGAATGCTCTCAGAACAGCAGGGGTGGGAAGAGAAGACTCATGGGAAAGTGGAGGGATCAAGCCCTGCATCCCATTATTTAAGAACCTATAGATGGTAAGACAGGATTTATACATGGTCATAAATACACACATGCGCACACGTGCGCGCACACACACACACTACAGAACTGATGGTGCCTAGTTTTCTGCATGGGCTCGGTACATCTCTTCGCATATACCCTTCATTATTTTAACTCTTTGGTCAGACTTTCAGGAGTTATTGCTCCATAGCAGGATAACGGAACCCTTTTCCACCCGAAAGTGTCTCCTAAGACTTGCCATGGTACCTTAAATACGATCAGGATCACTCCATTCAGTTGAGTTGACTCTCTAAACCCTCTTTGCAATTCCACAAACTCAGCCTTGCCCCACATGTGTGCTGTGCCCTCCGGGGAGCAGAACATATTTTACTCCTCTTGGGATTACAAGCAACCAGGCATACAGCTGATCCTCAATATGGGTTCTGATGGGCTTAAACTGTATCTGTGGTAAGAATATGTCTGAAGAAAAATGTAACTTGAAACCCCTTAGAGTTCTAAGATTATAAATTACATACAAAGGCTAAAGAGGAAAATGTGCTAATATAAAAATTATGCTAGTATATAATACCTGATAAATAGCAGATCTTTTTAAAACCTACTCCTTGATAAAATATTTACTGAGTGCTAAATGTGTATTCGTGTGTTTGTAACTGTTGTCTGTGTGTAATGTGTCTATCTGTGTGTGTATTTATCTCTGTCTGTTGTGTGTGATGTCTGTGTGTGTGTACATGTTTGTCTGTGTCTGTTGTGTGTGTGGTGTGTCTGTGTGTGTGTGTCTGGTGTAGGAGGTCCTTCTGTATATGTGTTGCTTTTATTGGTTAATGAATAAAGAAGCTGACTTGGCCTGTGATAGGGCAGAGCAGAACTAGGCGGGGAGGGGACTATTCTGAATGTTGGGAGAAAGAAGGTGGAGTCAGGAGATGCCCATGGAGCCACCAGAGGGGAACAAAACAAACTGCCAGCTGGAACATTGCTGGTAGGCCATGAGCCTCACGGTAAAATATAAATGAATAGAAATGGGTTAAATTAAGATGTAAGAGGATAGCCAATAAGAAGTTAGAGCTAATAGGCCAAGCAGTGATTTAAATAATATAATTTCTGTGTGATTATTTCAGGTCTAAACAGCCGGGAATGAACAAGGGGCTCCCTCCAACATCTGTCTCTCTGTATGTGCCCTGTGTGTCTCTGTGAGTGCATGTGTGTGCGCGCGTGTGCGTGTGTGTTACTGCTGATTGAACCTAGTGCTCCATATGCACACTAGGCAAGTACTCTACTGTTGAGCTATAACTTCATTCCTATTTTTACTGTTGAGTTTTAGAGATAAAGTCTCACTAAGTTGCCCAGGCTACCCCTGAACTCACTTTGCACCAGGACGGACACTAAACTTGGGATCACCCTGCCTCAGTGTCCTCAGTAGCTAAACATAGGCCTGAGCCATTGGGCCTGGCCAGGAACTGTCCTAGTAATAGAATGAAACAGTAAATGGGACAGAAAGCATCTCGGTGCTTACAGGACATAGGCTGGGACAACCTACGGGAACCGTGATCTCCAAACACTAGCCTGCATGTTTTCTGTCTCACAGACTTGTGCATAATCTTCCCTGGAGAGCAAAGAAGTAGAGATGTGTCAACAACATTATAGTAATTTTATATTTTATGCATTGGGGGAACTCAAGATTCTAAGTAATTTACAATACAAGGACACTCTCATCTACTACCTAAATTCTCCAAAATGCAGACAGACTAACCTGCATTTAGAAGCTTCAGTTATTTTCAGCTCTCTGGCCAATCTTTCCCTGTACGGTGGCCTTATTCATTCAACTGAACCGAAGGGGAAAAAAAGAGGCATTAGCCCTCTCCTTATTCCTACACTGTACTTCTCAAGGGAAGAACCGTGTCTTATTTACCTCTGGGTTTTAAGCAGTACAAGGCATACAACAGATGCTCACAATGGGTTCTGATGCAGATAATCACTTCTAGGTGGTGTCGACAGCGGCAGCACATGGTGGGAGCAGCAATGAGTCAGAGTCAGGAGCAAATTCACTCAGTGGAGGAAGAATTTCTGCCAGAGACTGAGAATCTTACACCCATTGCATCTCCCAAAATATTGAGAGACCAAAACAAGCCGCTCCCTTGGTGGACTATGCTCCATGCTTGCCTGGACAGGGACAACCCATAAATCTGAGCAGAGTGCAGATTTTCCAGCATCGAGCAGCAGTGGCCAACTGCCGGGTGTGAGGGCCCCCGCCTTTAATCCCAGCACTCAGGAGGAAGAGGCAGGTGTGTGTGTGTGTGTGTGTGTGTGTGTGTGTGTGTGTGTGTGTGTAGACAAGAGTCAAGCTCAGAACTACTTGTACAAGGGATTCAGGATGCAGTCTGGAAGCAAAGGTGTGGGCACCTCCAGGGGGAAGTGTGGAACCCTCTGAAGCTCAGGCCAAACAGGCTTTTCTTGCTTTGGCTAAGAACAACCATTTGGATTCTTCAGATTGTGATCAACTCACAACATTTTAAACTTGCTTTCCTAGCAGGCCAACTTGTTTAAAATTCACTAATCAAAGTATTATTGGAAAATCAAAAACTCATCTCTAAGCAGGATACACGTTATTCTTGAAAAAGACGTAAATTCTGTCTTACCTGAATATATAGTTCAAGTACTGCTGGTCAATGTCACTGAAAAATTCAAGAGAGAAAAAGAGAAGACTCATAATATAATGAAAAGAATTTTTAAATCTATAAATGGTCATTTTACTGTATTAATAAATTCTATCTCTAAGTTATGAATTTTATAAATTATCAAAGGAGAAGGAGCATTTCATATTTCGAGATCAATTCTTGTCATTTGACCTGAAGTGACTTTAAATTTCACACAGCTCATTGAACATGGAGAGCTGGTGCCTACATGGAGTCCTCAGCCCATGTTCTCATCTCTTTGGTGAGGGAAGGGACTCTGCAAACTACAGAAAGAGAAATGTGGACACCAACCTTTGACCTACAATCTGTCCTGTCTGCACAATATGCTAATGCAATCAATGGTGGCACAGAACTGTGGGAGCAGCCAACCAATGTCTGATTTGACTTCAGACCCACTCTATAGAAGGAAGCAGAGACTAGACAGTCCTAAGGTAAATACCTAAGGTAAAACTTAATGTAAAACCAAAGACAACTGGCAGACAGATAGATGAGATGGATGGATGGATAGATAGATAGATAGATAGATAGATAGATAGATAGATAGACAGACAGATGATAGATAGGTAGGTAGGTAGATAGATAGATAGATAGATAGATAGATAGATAGATAGATGATAGATAGGTAGGTAGATAGATAGATAGATAGATAGATAGATAGATAAACAGACAGATAGATAAAACTGATTCCTGGTGATATTCTGCTATAGTCATAGATCAGTGCCTTGTCCAGTCTTCATCAGAGAGGCTTCCTCCAGCAGGAGATGGGAACAGATCCAGAGACCCATAGCCAGACATTATGCAGAGTTTAAATTGGAGGTCTCTACCAAATCCCTCCCCTCAGAGCTCAGGGAATTCCATAGAAGAGGTGACAGAAAGACTGTAAGAGCCGGAGAGACAGCGACACCAGGAGAACAAGGGCCTCTGAATCAACTAAGCAAGATGCACATGAGCTCACGGAGACTGAGGCAGCAAGTACAGGGCCTACACAGGTTTGCACCAGCACTCGGGAGGCAGAGGCAGGCGATCTCTGTGAGTTCGAGGCCAGCCTGGTCTACAACAGCTAGTTCCAGGACAGAAACCAAAAAAGCTATGGAGAAACCCTGTCTCGAAAAATCCAATATATATATATTACATTGTAGCTATTAGTTTGGTGTTTTTATGGGACTCCTGAGAAAAATGAATGAGTCTCTGACTCTTGTACCTGCTTTTGGGACTTTTTCCCTCCTGTTGGGTTGCTGTATCCAACTTCAATATGAAAGTTTTTGATTCATCTTACTATATTTTATTTTGACATGTTTGGTTATTATCGCTTAGAAGTCTGTTTTATTTTAATGAGAGAGAGAAAGGGACTGGATCCTCCTTTCTCACACAATATATCCTAATTATAGTTTCTCCCAGTTTCTCCACACCTCCTCTCTATCTCATACACTCCTTCAGTGAAAGAAAGAAAGAAGGAAGGAAGGAACAAAGGAAGGGAGGGTGGAAGGGAGGGAGGGAAGGAGGGAGGGAGGGAGGGAGGGAGGGAGGGAGGGAGGGAGATTAGAAGCTAAATTACTGACATGGTAAAACTCAGAAAGGAAGGACCAGACAAACTAACCAACTGCTGTGGGACAATGCTCTTGTACACTATAAAGATTTGTCACTCATATTGGTTTAATAAAGTGCTGATTGGCCAGTAGTCAAGCAGGAAGTATAGGTGGAGCAACCAGACTAAGAGAATTCTAGGAAGAGGAAAGGCAAAGAGTCAGTTACCAGGCAGATGCAGAGGAAGCAAGATGAGAATGCCTCACTGAGAAAAGGTACTAAGCCACATTAAACACAGACAAAAATTATGGGTTAATTTACGTTGTAAGACCTGGTTAATAATAATCCTGAGCTAATTGGTCAAACAGCTTACAATTAATATAAGCCTCCATGTGTTTCTTTGGGACTGAACAGCTGCAGGACCAGGCAGGACAGAAACTTCTGCCTACACCCAATATATTTCAGGATCAAACAAAGTATATTCTTATTTCAAGTTAGTTATCCAGGTAAGAAAAGAATGAACCAGTTCCCTCAAACTAGGAGTAAGATTAGAATGAAAAAGCCCACTATAGCATTGGACATGCAGGTGACTGTCAAGAAACAGGAAATACAAATTCTAAACCCCTTCCATAATGGGCCCATTCCTTTTGAACACAGTTGCCAGTTTAGAGCTAATACACACCTCACCTGGGTCAGTTGCTTCCCACTTATGTGTTCGCTACTTTCAAAGGAGAGTCAATTCTATCAACCATCATGGACCGCTGGATGCACTGGCTTTCAGGGCTGGTTTCCTTAGCAGACAAAAACCAGGGCCATGAGATGGCTCAGCTGGTATTGCTATTCTGAGGCCCTTGGTTTGCTCTCTAGGGACTGATGCAAGAAGGAGAAAACTGACTCCCAAAAGCTGTCTTCTCATTGGGTGGTGGTGGCCCACGCAATTAATCCCAGCACTCAGGGGGCAGAGGCAGGCGGATCTCTGTGAGTTCGAGGCCAGCTTGGGCTACAGATTGAATTCCAGGACAGGTTCCAAAGCTACAGAAAAAGCCTGTCTAAAAAAAAATGGCATAAACACACCTCACATATGCATATTTCTCTTTTAAAATCAAGACTATGCCAATAATTCAAATTTAGCTAAAAACTTCTATCTCAGTGTATGTCCTACCACTACACGGTACTTACTTAAAGAACCATGTGCTATTCATCCAACCTTAGATTTAAGTGGGCGTCATGTACTTTGAGTGGCTGTTTTTTCTGAGACATGGTTTCTCTATGGAGCCTAGTCAAGCCTCGAACTCTAGATCCTCCTGCCAAAGACAAATTTACAGGTATTCACAACCACACCTGGCTCTACTGCTTCTGGCTGCAAAAATTCTTCATTCAAAGAACAAAAGGCAACCCAAGAAATAAAAGTCACAGGGGCAGGGCTGAGGGGCAGGAGTCATCCCCTAGGCCTTCTTCTCCGGACCTCCAGGCATCCCCACACCCAGAGGCCAGCTGGCCAGTCTCAGGCCCCAGCTCAGTGGAAACAAGAATTCTTTCCTTTTACTTAAATTTTAATTTTTTTTTAAATTTTACACTCACCAAAACTGTTTCATTGGCTACCTACAATGACTGGGAACTAGGGAGACTTCCAGATATAAAAACTGAGTCAGATTTTAGGGGCAGTGGAATCAAGAACACAGACGTTGCCCTTCTGAGATAGGTGCAGTCAAGTGGCACCCTGAAAAACTAGAAGTATGGGCGTCTCACTAAATCACCACCTAGATGGCTGTGCCTAAAGAATAGGAGACTTCCCTGCCTCTGCACATTAAAGGCTGGTGACAATCGGCCAAGAGGTAAGTGGCCCAATGAGCAATGAGAGATGGCTTAGAGGGAAGACTGTGGGTCACATCTCTTTAGTCAACCAACTCCCCAGATGTTAAGAGCTCACCTTAACACAATGGGCTTCTGGGATTTCCGAAGTATTCTGTAAGCCCCTAGAAAATAAGGGACACGAGTCATTGGTACCTTCTGTTTAAAGAGCTGCCTACACTTCCAGAAAAGCAGAAAATCCACAGGGAAAGGCAGCTGGGCTCCCCAGACCCCAAAAGAGTGCTGGTCTCTTCTCCCTGTGTTGTCAATCCCAAAGATGGGAGGAGCAAGACCACTGGCCCACGTCATCGTGGTCAAATTAACTAAAGCAAGCTTTTTTTATACGGACTGCCTCCTCCTAAGGAGGGGTTTGAGAGGTCAGCAGCAGACATGAAGAATATAAGGTTTCTATAGTTTAGAGGTAAGGGAATTCCAATGGGGGGTTTGGTGGGATTACAGGAAGAGAATATAAGCATAACAAGTTAGTCATAACAACCTCCAGAAACAGAGACATGATAGCATGGTGGTCATAACAAGTTAATCATAACAACCCTTTTGAAAGAAGATAGACTTGCTAGATGGTTATAGACAATCTTTAGAAACAAAGACATAATTGCCATTCCTGGAAAAGGCACTATAGAACCATTTGTAGCTAAGGTTACAGGTGTGACACAGTCCAATTCTGGAGAAAAGAGGTTTAAATAGGAATGAGCCTAGTTTGTCTTTGCTATAAGTGGCTTTTAAGCCTAAGATGGAGGCAGGCTGGTTCATCAATTTCACAGGGAAAGGCCCCAAAAGGGCACTGGCCCCTTCTCCCTCTTTCATACACTGACAGGAGGAAACGAACTGAAAGGTTGCAGGGATACAAATCCCATGACTAGGTCAGGCACTGCGGTTGCCAGGGGAAGCACTTGACCAAGAGTGACCATGTGGTCCAGGTGGTACTGCTAACAGCAAGTTCCACTTCCTTCCCATGATGCCCATAAAGAAGGAAACCCATGAGATTTTTTATTGTAACAAAACCAAACAAGATACACTGAACTCATGACTTGAAATAAAATTAGATTGTCTTTGGATTTCATTTTTTGGTTTTTTGTTTACTACTGGAAGAATTTTAGACATGACATTCTGATTGTCTCTCAGGAAGCCTACATGTTCAGAAATGAGTTCCAGATGGACTACATAGAAGGATTTCCAGTGGCTTAGATAAAGCAAGCATTCCTTAGAAACTTGTGAAACAGGTTTTCCATCCCAAAAAGGAGTCTTCCCAGCAGCTACTGAGCTTCCTTAAATCCACATTTGTCCACTCCTGTACTGTGGCGCTTTCTCCCTGTCTCAGGAATTCATATCTCTCTCTCTCTCTCTCTCTCCCTCCCTCCCTCTCTCTCTCTCTCTCTCTCTCTCTCTCTCTC